AAGATTAATACTAAATTGTCAGAAATAGATAACACATTGGAAGGGCAAAGGAGAAGAATTGATGCGATGGAAGACAGAATTAATGAGATGGCAGAATGCTCCTTAGAAGCGAGAATGGCCAGACTTCGTCTCACCTACTTTGGTCATGTTGTCAGAAGGGACAATTCCCTGGCGAAGGATGTCATGCTTGGTAAGGTGGAGGATTGACAAAAGAGGGGAAGGCCCTCAATGAGATGGAATGAAACAGTGGCTGTGGTGATGGGCTCAAGTATAGCAAGAATCACAGAGCTGGTGCAGGACCCGGTGTGTTTTGTTCTGCTGTGCATAGGGTCGTTATGAGTCGGAGATGACTTAATGGCACCTAACAATAACAGCTTGTTGTTCCAGTTGTGAAGATTTTCATTTTCTTTATGATGAGGTGTAATTCACACTGCAGACTATGGTCTTCAATCTTCATCAGTAAGTGCTTCAAGTCACCCTCACTTTCAGCAAGCAAGGTTGTGTCCTCAGCATAGTACAGTTTGTTAATGAGCCTCCCTCCAATGCCAATGCCTCGTTCTTCTTGACATAGTCCAGCTTCACAGATTATTTGCTCAGCATACAGACTGAATAAGTACGGTGAAAGGATACAACCCTGATGCACACCCTTCCTGATTTTAAAATCATACAGTATCCCCATCTTCTGTTCAAATGACAACCTCCTGGTCTATGTACAGGTTCCTCATAAGCACAGTTGTTTTTGGTATTCCTATTCTCAATGTTATCTATATTTTGTTATGATTCACAGAGTCGAATGTCTTTGCCTAACCAACAAAACACAAGTAAATATCTTTCTGGTATTCTTTGCTTTCAATCAAGATCTATCTAACATCAGCAGTGATATCCTTCATTCCATGTCCTCTTGGGAATCCAGCTTGCACTTCTGGAAGTTCTCTGTCAACAGGTTGCTTCAACCATTTCTGAATTATCATCAGTAAAATTCTACTTTCATGTAATATTAATGATACTGTTCAATAATTTCCATTCTGTGGGATCACCTTTGTTTGGGATGGATACAAATATGGATCTCTTCCAGTCAGTTGGCCAGGTAGCTGTCTTCCAAATTTCTTGGCATAGATGAATAAGCACCTCCAGCACAGCATCCTTCTGTTGAACCATCCCAATGGGTATTCCATCAGTTCCTGAAGAGTAGTTTTTTGCCAATTCCTTCAGTGCACCTGTTCAGTTCTTGATCATATGCCACCTACTGAAATGGATGAACATCAGCCAACTCTTTTTGGTACAGTGACTCTGTGTATTCCTTCCATCTTCTTTTGATGTTTTCTGCATCATTCAGTATTTTGCCCATAAAATCTTTCAGTATTGCCACTCGAAGCTTGGATTTTGTCCTCAGTTCTTTCAGCTTGAGAAATGCTGAGCGTGTTCTTCCCTTTTAGTTTTCTAATTCCAGGTCTTTGCATATTTCATTATGATAATTGACTTTGTCTTCTCAAGCTGTTCTTGAAATCTGTTCAGCTCTTTCATCTTGTCATTTCTTGCCTTTGCTCTCCATTCAAGGGCAAGTTTCAGTCTCTTTTGACATCCATTTTGGTCTTCTTGTCTTTTTAATGACCTCTTGCTTTCTTCATGAATGATATTCTTGATGCCATACAATTCCTCTGGTTTGCAGTCACTGGTGTTCAATGCATCAAATCTATTCTTTAGATGGTCTCTAAATTCAGGGGGGATATAATCAAGGCCATATATTGGCTCTCACGGACTTAATTGTCTTCAACTTCAGCTTGAATTTGCATATGAGCAGTTGATGGTCTGTTCCACAATCAGCTCCTGGCCTGGTTTTGGCTGAAAAGATTGAGCTTCTCCATGGCCTCTTTCCACAGATGTAGTCAGTATGATTCCTGTGTATTCCATCTGGTGAGTTTCACATGGATAGCTGCTGTTGTCGTTGGAAAAAGGTATTTGCAATGCGTAAGTTGTCAATCTTGTGGAATTGTTATCTTGTGATCTCTGGCATCATTTCTATCACCAAGGCCATATTTTCCTCTGTTTCCAACTTTGTATTCCGATCATAAGTAATAACCAATACATTTTAATTGCATGTTTGGTCAATTTCAGACTGCACAAGTTGGTAAAAATCTTCAATTCCCTTACCTTTGTCTTTAGCGGCTGGTGTGTAAATTTGAATAACTATTCTTCCTTATAGGCATATGGATATTATCCTTTCACTGAGAGCAGTGTACTTCAGGATAGATCTTGAAACATTTTTTTGTGATAATGAATGCTATACCATTTTTCCTCAATTTGTTATCCCTGGCATACATTATATGGTTGTCTGCTTCAAAATGGCCAAAACCAGTCCATTTCATCTCATTAATGCCTAGGATATCAATCTTTACGTGTTCCATTTCATTTTTGACAACTTCTAATTTTCCTAGATTCTTCATACATTCCATGTTCTGATTATTAATAAATGTTTGCAGCTGTTTCTTCCCATTTTGAGTTGTGCCACATCAGCAAATGGCGATCTCAAAAGCTTTACTCCATCCACATCATCAACGTCAACTCTACTCTGAGGAGGAAGCTCTTCTCTAGTCATATTTTGAGTACCTTCCAACCTGAGGAGCTCTTCTAACACTGTATCAGGCAATATTTCAAGGCTATTCAGAAAGTTTTCCAGTAATATACCAGACAGTGTTTCAGTGCTATTCATAAGGTTTTCACTGGCCCAATTCTTTAAGAAGTGGATGGCCCCTCCATTCTTCTAATTCTGTCTTAGTCTGGGAGCTCTGCTGAAACCTGTCCACCATGGGTGACCCTGCTGGTATTTGATATACCAAGAGCATAGGCTCCAGCCTCACAGCAACACACAAGCCACCACAGATGACAAACTGACAGATGAGTGGTGGTAAAAAGCATTGGGCCTGCTCATATTCTCATCACCCCTGTTGTTTTTCCCTAATTTCTCTCTTCCTTAATTAACTGGAACTAAGACCCCTTATTCCTTGGTTTTCTGTTAGATAAAGTATCTGTTTAGTTGTATACCATATTTTTATAGTAATTTTATAGTAAATGGTACCACTATGTACCATTTTCAAACAGTTGGTTAAGTCCAACCATAACCTAAGCTAAAATAGAAAGAGAAAATGAAATGCAATTTTTACCAATGGCTCTAAATTTCTTTCTGTTTCTATATTTTCAAACTGGCAAAAGAACTTGCACATAGTAGACATGCTCTAAATGTTGAATTATTTTCATGTTTCCTATTATTGCTAACTATGGAATATTCTGCAAATGGAAAAAATTTACAATGCTTATTTAGTGCCACTTTTGCTAACTCATTTACAAACAATTTATTAATAAAATCTGATACTGCAACTTGTCATGGTAATAACCACTATTTCATAAACACTGGATATTTTTTAGGTTACTTAATAAGGGTTGACAAAGGTTCTCCTTTACATTGTGGTATCTGTATGCCTAGGAGTGCTGGGAAAGGAAATAAATAACATAGGGAGTCAGATAAAAGTATTCATTGGTAACTAGTCTTGAGCAATAGAAGGCTTTATGTGCCAGGGACTATCCTAACCACTTTATCAACTCATTTAATCCACAGAACATTTATGAAAGAAGGATATGACAGAAACTTCTCTGAAAGACACAACTGTCAGAAAATGACACTAGAAGAAAAAGAAAACTTGAATAACTGTATCTGTTAGAGAAATTAAAATTGTAATTAAACACTTTTCCACAAAGACCCAGATTTTTCACTAATAAGACATACTTAATACTAACCTTACACAACTCTTTCAAGAATTTAGGAAGAGGAATACTTCCAAACTCATTTTATGAGGACCATATAATCTTCATATCAAAACTTGACAAGAATATTACAAGATAAGATTATGGAGCAATATTCCTCAAAAGCATAGATATAAAAATTTTAAACAGGCTCTTCCTCAACCATTTTTCCTCCATTTCTGAACAATTCTATCCTAAATCCATTAGAGGGAGCAGAGCAAGGTGGACATCCATGAGCAAGAGAATCCCTGGCATGGTGTATGAAAGCCCCAAGAAAGATGAAGTCAGTGTAGGCAACAGCTTATCATGAAGTGTTGGAACTCACTCAGAGTACTAGCAATTTACTGGGGGGGAGGGGAGTCTTAAGTTTCTAGAAGGTTTTCTCTATGAATATGGAAGAGCACTTGGCTTTAGTACTTTATAAGCTTTCAAACTTATTTGAAAATAGCAGGAATTGCCCGGAAACACTATTTTCACTATATTAGTACTAAATTGGATATAAGCTTGCTTCCTACTGTTTCAGAAAAAAACAGAAGTTGTATGGTCACAACATTAATGTAATTCCAGGTAATCTTCCAGTCTTTAAATAATGATTTATTAAAAATAGATAAAACTGTTTCCTGATAACCAGTTCTAGACCCTTGGAAAACTCTATAGAAAGCTTAGCAAATCTGCTATATCCCACTAGGGCAATCTTTGAAATAAAAAAGAATAAATAACACAAAGAATGAGAGAGGCACAAACAAGTTTTCTTTCTTTCTTTTTTTTTTTTTTTCCCAGAATTTAGTATTTTTAAAAAGACAAAAATAGTAAAAATTATCAAAAAATTATACAATGCTCATTTTGGGACTACATGCTAGCACTGAAATTCTTCTCATGTAATTGATTTAAGGTAAAAAGTAGAAATAATAAGGGGAACACAGCAGTTACCACTGTCCAGTGTAAAGCCCACTTGTACAAAGGCAGAACAAAATGAGCTGACGTTAGCTGACCATCCACATCATGACCTTACTAACAAACTTCAAATGGTTTCAGTCTCAGTTTCCAAAAAAGAGGATCATCCTGCATGCTTAGATTCTACTTCTCCAAGAATCCATTGAATGCCATTCAAAAAACCAGCTAGAGTTTCAGCATCTGTATCCTGGACCTATGAACAGAGAAGAGAAAACATTATCAATTATACTGGGGTCTTAAAAGCTTGCAAGCAACCATCTAGATGCAACAATTGGTCTCTCCTCATCTGGAATAAAGAAGAATGAAGAAAACCAAAGACACATGGAAACAATTAGTCAAGGAGACCAATGGACCATGCAAACCTCAGCCTATATGACCCTGAGAAAAGACCTAGATGGTGCCTATCTAGCTACCATGGTCAATCACTCGGAAAGAGATCAATGAAGGAGATCCTGGACAGATGGGTGGAACTCAAAATCATAAAAAAGACCAGGCTTACTGGTTTAATAGGGACTGGTGAAACCCCCTAAGACTATGGCATTTGCACAGGGAGACAGCTCAGAGGGCAGGGATACATAAGAAAGAAGGACACAGGGAAAAGGTAACCAAAGGGATGAAGTAGGAAGAAGGCTGTTACATTACGGGGATTACAATCAACATCCCAACAAAACAAAATAAGTATCAACTGCTGTATGGAAAATGATATTGCTCTGTAAACTTTCACCCAAATCACAACAATAACAATAAAACTGAATTCAAAACCTTATGATTAATAGGAGATTTCCTAGACATCAAAATATAGGACTACAAAAATTCCAATAAACTTTAGGTCAATTACACAAGTTTTGTCTTCCATACAGCATAGATAAAATAGGACTTCCCCTTATGTCTTAATAATTACCATTATGAGGCTTATTATTTATCTTAGATCTCAGTTTTAGAAATAGGAAAAACTAATGCTACCATGACTTGCCTGTACATACTAAAACCGAAAAAACCAAACTCACTGTCTTTGAGTCGAACCCGAATCATAACAATCCCTCCTTGGGTTTCTGAGGTGGCATCTCTATGGAAATAGATTGCCCAGTCTTCCTTCCAAGGAGTGGCTGGTGGGTTTGTACTGCCAGCCTTCTGGTTAGCAGTCAAATGCCTTAGGAACTACACCACCATAGTAGGAGGGGAAAAAAATTCCTCCAAGAAATCGACTTTAGAAACTAAAGTATATTTAAATGAATGCAGCTAGTCAGTTGATAACTGTGACATCATGCTGCAAAAATGTGTCTTGAAGATTGTCATTCCTCTTAATGATAAAGTTAAAAGTCCTACCACTCACAAGGGTACACCTTTATGAGTAGCTTTCAAACTGTGTTCCAAAAAGCTTCCAAGCCTCCATGGAAGAGATGTAAGGAGTAAGACAGAAAATCCTCTAACTTTTTCATCCAAAGTATTTCCAATATTAATTTTCCTTAATCTGTTTTACTCAGGGGAGCTCTGGTAGCACAGTGCCTAAAGCATTTGACTGATAACCAGAAGGCTGGTGGTTCAAACCCACCATCCACTCCTCAGAAGGAAGGTTGGGCAATCTACTTCCGTAGTGATACTGCATCGGAAACCAAGGAGGGGTTGCTATAAGTCAGATCTGACTCGACAGCAGTGGGTTTGGTTTGGTTTGGTTTTACTCAGAGGCTTTCAGGAAAGATTTCATTTGGAGAAAGGATTTCACAATTAAAATGAAGTTTGAAAGCAATAAATTATAAGACAGAACGCATACTTTTGATGGTCCTTAAATTGTAATACAACGATGCTAAAAAAATAAATCCATGACAGTGGCGTCTAAAAGAAAGAAATCCTTAACAACTATCTCACTTTTTCCATAATGAAAGAAGCAAGTAGGGAACAATAATCATCTGAGACTTATTGACACCAACTGTGGTACAGTGAATTACTTGGTATGGCTTTTCTAGCCGTGGTCTTTGTGATCCCCACCAGATGACTGGGTGGAACTATGCATATGTGAGGTGCTTGTGGCCTAACAAGGGGACTGGATAGCTTGCTTACAATGCAAATAAAGTACATAGCATCCTTGTGGGGATTAGACTATACAAGTAAGGTGTGTGGAGCTGTAACATGGGCATTGGTCAGTTTTGCCATCTTGCCAGGCTTAAAATGAGCCACCCCAGAGGTAGAAAAGGGAATCTCACTACCATCAAGAGAGAAGAGCTGGGAGTAGAGCATGTCCTAGGACATGCACTGAGAGGGCAGAGAGACGGCAGCAGCAGAGGCAACAGAACCAGGAGACCAACATGAGACAGAGCAGTGGCCTTCTTGGCCCATGGAGCAAGAAAGCTGAGTGCTTCAGGCAGGAGGCTAGCAAAGTGGGGGCCTCTCTGGGTGTCTATATGGTAAAGCTAAAAAAGCTTTGTCACACTGACTAGAACAAGGCAGAGGCTAAGGCCAGGGAGAAGCGTGCCTGTGCATAGCTGAGAAGCTGCCCTGAGGGGAAAATAAAATACATAAGATATTTCTCACCAAACAAGAAAGGACCTTACCATCCATGGGTGGTTTAGAAGATTCAGATGCAATTCATGTGCTAAATAAAAACAAGGCATTCTTTTTACATCTGCTTGAGAAATACAAGATAAAACAAGCATTGGTCTTCCTGAAGATCCAAAAGCCGGATCTGTCATTGCCATAATATGAGAAAATTCATCTTGCCATTCATGCCCTAAGGAAGGTAAATGAAAATCCTTAATTTGAGTTATTAAAAAAAAAAAAAAATTAACAAGTAAACAAACAAATTACCAGGATTCAACCACACCAAACTGCCTCTATTGCTGTGTTCACTTAATGACTGTCATAAAGTTAGATTACATAGCTTGTAAGAATAGTATTTTAAATGGAATCACAGAGGGGGGGAAAAAACACAGTACCATTTAGATGTCTCTATGGTGGCATAGTGCCTAAGGCATCTGACTGCTAACCAGAAGGCTAGTGGTTCAAACCCACCAGCCACTCCTTGGAAGGAAGGTTGGGCAATCTACTTCCGCAGTGATACCATCTCGGAAACCCAAGGAGGGGTCACTATGAGTTGGATCTGAATCAAGGGCAGTGGGTATAGCTCTGGTGGTGTAGTCCTAAGGCATTTGACAGTTAACCAGATGGCTGGTGGTTTCCCTTGGAAGAAAGACTGGGCAATCTAGGTGGTAGAGATACCGCCTCAGAAACTGAAGGAGGTATCACTATGAATTGGAATCAACTCGACAGCAGTGAGTTTGCTTTTTTTTTTGATTTTACGGCTTGGTAAAATATGGTTTCACATCTCACGTCATTATACTCTGCCACCACCTAGTAACAATCACACTTTTTAAAATTATGCTATTTTCACACATTGCTTATTTTGAAAAGTATTTAAAATTTCCAGTATATTTTTCATCTTTCAGTTCAGTAATAATATCTAACTTACTTTCACGGAAGTTAGTAAGTGAACTCTATACAACATCTACTTGAAACTTGTTGAGATTGCCTTATGGCTTAGTACATGACCAACTTTGCACTATGTATTCTTTATTGGATGAAAAACTTTGTGTTTTAGACCATACTTGTTAACTCTGCATTTAAATATTCTATATCTTTGTCCATTTTATTGATTGTTGGATGTTAACAATAACTGAGAGATTTGCATTTCCCTACTGATTAATCCCTGATTGCATGTTTGGTCAATTTCAGACTGTAGAAGCTGATAAAATTCTTCAATTTCCTCAT